CTTCTTTGTTTTGTTTTGTTGATACAGGATCTTACTCTGTAGTCCTAGCTAGCCTGGTACTCAATATGTAGCCCAGGCTGGCCTTAAAGTCAGTGCTATCCTCCTGCTTCGGTCTCTTAAGTGCTTGGATTGCAGGTGTGCAACACAATGCCTGGCTTTAGACCTTGTCTCTTATTATTACCACCAGGGAGTTAAGTTTCAACATAAATTTGGGAGAGGACACATTTAAATCATAACGTTGGGTGCAAAGGGAACCCCAAAATGTCAGTCTTGGTTCAGCTCAAGCTAGACTATAGAAGGACCGCTGCTGGGTTTCTGTCTTCCAGAAAGCCCTTCCCATGGCTATGCCTGTGGTTACAGATCAAAACCATGCTAACCTCTAGCCAATTTCAGTCTCTATTCACACATACCTGTTAACATTTCCAAGTCTACACTAGCCTCCTGGCCTTTCTCACCACCTCTTTTACCCTAACCTCCCATGCTGCTCAAGATCACAGGCATCCCTTCCCCCATCTACCCATGCTCCTTATATCCTGCGTCTTCCACGCCCCTCCCCCCCTGCTCTAGTCTTGGCCACGTCCAGTCTGCTGCTTTTCCTCTCTGTTCTAGACTTGTCCAGATGCCTCTGACTGCTCTCTCTCTCTCTCTCTCTCTCTCTCTCTCTCTCTCTCTCCTCTCACCTTTTTACCTACAACAAAAACTTTCTCCCTAACCATGGAGTGGCCAGTTCAGTGATTTCTTTGATGCATCCTTACTTACCCATAGGAATAGGATTTGCATTTTTATTTAAAAAAATGAAACCTCTTAGCTAGGCACTGCTTGCAATCCCAGTGTTTAGGAATCCAAGGGAGGGGACCGACAGTTCAAAGATAGCCTGAGCTGCACAGGAAGGCCCCACCTCAAAACTAAAACCTATTTAAAAAGAAACTCTTTTTTTTTTTCCTTCCTAGTCTTCCTCTAAAGAACACAGATCTGGCTGGAAAGGTAATACATGCAGCTAGTATTTCTGGGAGGTTGAATTAAAGGTGCAGTGTTAACTGAATAGCTGCATGTATTTTCCAGTTTTACACAGACCCTCTAATGTCTTCTAACTGAACAGTTTCTGAACATGTTCTCTAGAAATGTATTGGGTAGGGTTTTCCACTTAGAACAACTGTCTTGCTGTGTGAAGTCAAGAGAGTCCCAAAAGCACATAAGGCCAGAAATGGTGGCCGGATGAATTCCTTGATACCACAAGGGGACTTCTGTAGATGCTGATTGCCTGTGACATTAATAGGAGGCCAGAGAAGAAAGAACAGCAGGGCTGGGGCCTTTGAAGTTGCCTTTTCCTTTGCTTCTTTTGCTGTTTAGCTTAATGGCCCTCGGTCTCTAAAGTGCTAAAACTTTGATTTATTGACCCGTATTTTGTTTCATTGTCACTCTCTTCGTTGTTTGTCTCTCCGACTGTGAACTCAGGGCTGATCATCTCATGATCGAAACTCCTCAAGTAGTTATCTAAAGTAAGGTGTTGAATCCCATGCACAGGCCGAAAAAAATAACCTCAGCCAAAACATATAACACAATAACCTCAGGCTCATACATCAGACTGTGAAGTCCAAAGCCCCTTAGGGGCCTGACTGGGGACTCATGCAACAGCAGACCATCTCTAGCTACTAGGACTTTGAGTCCTTCCTAAGTGAACCTGACGTTTGATGGTCTTGATATAGAACCAGGACTTAAAGTGAGAGCAAGGCCAGCTAGAACACTGGAACTCAGGAGGTAGAGGCAGGGGCCTGAGATCAAGGCCTGTCTGAACCGCAGAGTGAGTTCAAGGTAATCCTGAACAAACCAGTGTCCTGGTGAGGTCTCTATTGCTGTGATGAACACTATCATCAAAAGCAACTTGGGGAGGCAAGAGTTAATTTGAATCATAGGCTACAGTCCATTATTAGGGCCAGGAACTCAGGAAAGAAACTTTATAGGTGTGGGTTATTTATTTATTTATTTATTTATTTATATATGTTTACTTTTGTGGGGGCCTCCCACCCAGCTCCCAAAAATACATGGACACTTGTTTTTATTTATGAATATTCTTAGCTTAACTTGCCTTGTTTCTAGCTGGCTTTTCTAACTTAAATTATCCCCTTACTCTTTAACTTTGTCTCGCGTCTGGGCTTTTATTTTTCTTTATTCTATATATCTTTCTTTTGTTTTTACTCCGTGGCTTGCTGGGTGACCCTAAACTTCTCCAGTCCAGGTACTGGGCTTCCCTGCCCTATATAATACAGTAAATCATAGCCATTTTGGAAATGTCAACCTCTTGGCCCAGGTTACACCTCTTGGTCAGAGGCTTGCTTCTCTCGGGGGAGCCCTTTTCTTTACGTGGCTCAGCTCAGGGTCATATTCTTTTTGGACTCTCCCAGATGACTCTGGCTGTGTTTCTCCTTTTTATCTATAAAAACCCTTCTCCTCTACCAAAGGTAGGAGCAGTCATGTCCTTCCTTTTTTCCCATTCATCAATGAGACAATTTCTCAAAATACAAAGTAAGAGGAAAGCTGAGGATTTAGCTCAGTGTATGAGCTCTAGTTAACATGTGTGAGGTCCTGGATCCCTAGTACTGAAAGGAAGAGAGAGAGGGAAGAAAAGACGGTGTAGGAAGGTCAGACTGAAATTGTAAGTTACTGTGCATGGTGGCCTGTCACCCAAGAGCACACTGTCTGTCCCTGATAGCTGAGTGCTGGGTGCCTCTCAGCCTGCCTTCCTATGCCTTTATCTCCTGTTCACTTTGGTCTCTCACTAGCTGAACCAGCAATTTTGGCCTTGCCCTTTGGAACCTCGGACATTCATATGTATAGTCCGGTGGGTACAGTTCTCATTTGATGGCTGGTGAGATAATCTATATGAAACCCACGGCAGGCCTTCCTCTTAGGGTCACTCTGTAAGCTGTGAGAATGTGGAGGGAAGCCGTTTAGATAGCAGAAGCCCAAGACAGTGTCCACTGCCCATCTCAGCAGAGTCAGAGGGAAGGCAAAGAATGCAACTCACTTTTAAGTTAATTTCTAGTCCCACCCTTTCCAACATGGGACACACATTCAGGGAAATTTCCCCTGTTTGAGTATTTGGCTTAAGTCTTAACTCACTGAGATTTCTTTAGCTTTAAAGCTCTTTTGCAATTCCACCTCTTCCCCATTATAGATAAAACCTTCCAAAACAGAAATCACGGGATGCTTTGCAATGGGCTCAGCAAGGCAAGCGGTGCAGAACTGTGCCCTGCACTGGAGTGAGCTGCAGTGGAAGCAAACATGAAGGTTACTATGGCTAGGTGAAGCCAAAGCCGACAGGAAAGCAATGCAAGAATCTAGAAAGCAAACTTTCTGTAGTTCTGTTCTTTTTCAGCAGGCGAACACCCTCGCTGGGTGTTTAATTGTTGTCAAATAATCTTCTTCCACGTCCCAGCAAGCTGTCACGACATCAACTGGAGCCCTGGAGGCAGAGGGCTTTGTGGGAACTTGAGCTGGAGGCTGCTGCCCATGAGTGCCTTTAGCTTGGCCCCCATGTTCCTCCCTGTCCCTCGGATCTTTCTGGCACTGCACTCCAAACACAGAGGCTGACGTTGGGATCAGTCTGGGGCAAATCTTTCTCATCAGTGCTCTGACTTCTTTGTCTGAAACTTCACCTCCCCAGGGGTTAGTCTACCTGAATTCCTGGCAATTTACAGTCGCTAATCTGTGTTTAGCTAGTGCAGAAGTCAGAGGCTTCTTAGCTCTCCCAAGGTTTTGCTGCAACTTGTCTGTCACCTATTGTCCCACTGAGACTGTGAGGACCGGCAGAAAGACAAACTGTGTACCCTCAGTCATCACCAGGACTCCTCCACGGGGCCTGGCAAGGGGTGAATACAATAAACATGTGTGGCAGGAATTCAGGAGCCCAGCAGGAGGATTTCTCTTTGCTTTCCTGTCCCTGGATGGGGTCTACATCCTGCAAAAGCTTCAAAATGAGACTTCAAAATGAGACTTCACTTGACTCATGATGGGTCTGAGAGCCATGCAGACAAAGGTCAACCTTTTAAGGGTCATTGTCTCTCTTTGGGTATATGGCAAAGCCTATCTATTCTCCCCAAATTAATCTGTACTAAAATCTCTGCTTATAACTCTGAGACCAGGAGATTCTTAACGTAGCGATTAAAAACTCCCCTAATTATAATCCAACAATACCAACTGGTCAGCTCCGACCATACACATGAGAGTAACACTAAACAGAGCAGGTTGCATTTATTTATTTAGGCATATACAAACAATAACAACTAAAGAAAAAGAGGTCGTTATTTTGAAAGAAAGCAAGGGGGCACATGTGAGAAGTTGAAGGGAGAAAAGAATGTAATTGTCTTTAATTTTAAACAACACAAATAATCGAGGCTTAAAAATCAAGGGGAGGAAAAACAAAAAACGTTTCAATACCATAACGTCCTTGAGAACTTTAAGTGGAGAGGGTTATGAATATTCTTGCATTGCTACTTTGGTAAAAGCAAAACAAAACTCGTGTGTGTTGTGTGCGCGTGTGTAAAAAATTTCCATCTTTTTCTACCTGTGTGAACTGCTCCCTCTCTGAGGTGTAGGGCCAGACAGTTTCCCACACTTTTCTTAGGTGTAAAGGGGTCTCTGCCGATCCGACGAATGTTAGTCTAATTCACGAAGGACAAATCCCGGCGGCGGGACAAGGAGAGCCGTCCCCAGACCAGGGAAAAAGTCAGGGTTGCAGGTGCCGCCGGCGCTGAAGGTGCGCGCGCAGGTGCAAGCACCGCCCTGGGCGGGGCTCGCGGTGGTGAGGGGCGGGGCGAGGTACGGTGTCGGGCGGGCGCCGTAGAGCAAAGGGGAGGAAAAGGTGAGTGAGAGGGAGTGAGAGAGGGACGAAGGAGGAGCTGGAGCAGGAGGCCGGTAAAGAGGTGGAGTGGGAGTGCTGCGAGCAGAGGAAGCAGGGAGGAAGGTGTGTGGGAGGAGCTGAGGGGGAGGAGCGGCCCGGAGCGGGGTGGAGTCTGCAAACTTTCAGTTCGAGGGCATTGTGGGAAGTAGCCATGGTCTGAGGCTGGCGCCTCACCTGTCAGCCGGTGTGGCTGCTACGCTCTCCCCTGGCTGTCGCATCCTGGGCCATCGCAGCTGTCGCAACCCGGGCGGCTGCGGCCACCATGGTGAGTACAGGCTGTGCATCTTGGTGGAGCTGGCCGGTGCCGTGCGCGCTCCGGGTGACACCTGCGGCTCCAGGGCCGGACGTGCGGCAGGGAGGGGGCACGCGTCGAGCCTGACTCCGGGTACCTTGGAGTCACACCCGCAGGTGGCCCGGCTGCTCCGGACAGTGCAGGTCTCCCCCGTCTGCGAGTTCCACGGACACCGGGCACCGCCGCTTCATTCATTTCAATCTCCTTTGCTGATGGCTTGGTCCGAGCCAGGCGCTGGGGAAGTCGCAGGGGACTAGGTGCTTACGTTCTTAAGAGAGGATGCGGAGGGAAGGAGACTGTGATGGAATGGTGAAACAAAGATAACTTCTCAGAGTGAGAAGAAGCCTCAAGTAACCGGGCAGAGAGGTAACTTTTGAATCGGTGGCCCATTTTGAGGAGGTGGCTTTTGAACTCTCCGAGACTCTTCTAGAGTACCCTTCTAGGCTGCTGCAGTCGGAGGAATTAGCAAAGATGAAAAAGAAAAACGAAACCCCGGTTTGTGGCTGGAGAGGTGGGTGGGGTCCCATGGAGCACATCTTCTTCATAAGCTGTTTGGCTTTTGTTTCGCTCGAGTTTTGACAAGAAAACCGACTTTACCCTTTCAATGCTCCATGAACCCCTTGGCTGATGGCGTAGGACAGACCTGTGTGTGTGTGTGTGTGTGTGTGTGTGTGTGTGCGCGCGCGCGCGCGCGCGCGTGTGTGTGTGTGTGTGTAGATGTCCAGCTGTGTGGATGGAAGTCTGAGGTTCGCGCTGACTTTCTGCTGGGACAGTTACGGGGAGAGCAGTTTGTCCTACTTCTCCAGCTGCTGAACACTTTTCAAATTCTCAGAGGAGTGACCTCCAGCCGGCGCCCTCTCCCCTCACCGCGGGGAGCCGCACTGGGTGAATTCAGAAAGGAGGAGGTGCCTTGGGTGCCCAGACAGGGAGCCCAGAGGATGTCAATGAGGTTCTCGGCCTGCCTGTTTTTGTTTGTTGAGGGTTCCTGGGAAATACAGGGTGGTGCAAAGAGGCAGCTGTAAATAATGGAGCAGCTTTCTTGGCTTGCTCAAGTTTCCCAAGGAACAAGGAGACAGTGTGCCCAGGCAACCAGTTCAATTTGCCTAATGGAGGTGGAATGGGGCCCCCCAAGTTTCTATGGAGCCCAAAGCTGCTTACTTCGGTAGGCAGGAGCAGGGAGCAGGATCTGAGGGAAGGACCCCCATGTTCTAGGCAGCACCTGTTCAGAGTTTGTTTTTCTTGCCCAGTGACAAATGACCTTCAGAAGTCTGGGACATTTCTCCAGCTTTCCCTCCAGTCCCAGTTGCTGTGCCCTGCCAACCCCCAACCCGGTCCCCCTCCCCCATTCACACCCTGGTGGTAAATACTGTCACTAGCTCCTCTAGTGAGCCTTCTCCTCCCCACCATGACTCAGGCCACCCTTGCCACCTCCAAACCAGGTGGTCACACCTTGTCCTCTACCTGCAACTGTGTGACCTCCCTCTTTATGAGTGTGCTCATTTGTTTGGTGGGTTAGGAACTGCTCCTAAGTGATATATATATATATATATATATGGCAGGCGTTCCTTTGTGGCCTGGCTATCCAGAGGGTCCCAAGGTTTTCTTAGAGGCCTGCAAGATCAAACCCAGCCTCATAAGGATTGGTAAGATGTTGTTGTGCCCTTTTAATTCACATTAAGACTATAGTGAAGTTTACCTGAGCCCAAGTGGTCTGAAATATTAACAACACAACAAATCAATCGCAGTAGTTGACAGGGGAGTCCAACTGTCTTCTGCTGGGTCAGATTAGGATTTTCCAAACTAATATAATATGATGCCGCTCTTTTCATTAATTTTCTTCCCTCTTTTCTCACCCCTCTCTTTATTATTTTTAATTGAATTAGTAAATATCTAAAATTATTTTTTTTCTGTTTTCTTTCTTTCTTTTTTTCTGTTTTGTTTTCTAATGCAGTAACTATCCGTGAATATAACCTGTGGAAACAAAAAGACCTTTGGTGTTCTTGTTGTCTTGGAGATGCCCCAGGACCATGAACGAGCACACACACAATGCTTTAAGAAACCCCACCCCTGTACGTCTGTGCTCAGCAGCATTTCACCTCCTGCCCTGCTGTCCGGGAAGGGAAGAGAAGTGGCTGTTCTAGTGCTCACCAGCCCGAGCACACCCCTTGCTGCTGACAGCAGTGACTCCTTCCTCATTCCTAGATCCTATCTCTTGCTGCCTCCTCTAGAAGATACTTTCTTCTAGAAAGTGGGCCATTCCACTCTGGGCTTCATAGCATGTGTGCAGGGGCTGATTAGCCTCTGTGTGTATCTTCAGCAAGCCGTTTGAAGCAACTGTACCGCCATCTTGCCTTTGTGTTAGAAACACCCCCATACTCCCTCTGTATTTTTAAGATATTATAATAGGAATTTACTATTGAATACTTGCTGATGGAGGATTTTTAGTTATTGTTGCCTTATTATTATTATTATTTTTTTTACAATAGCATGGAGACAGAGAGGCAGTTGAGAGACTTTGGGGATACCTTTAGTAAAAAAATGGAAGTGGGCCTTGATTATAAAAGTCCATCTAAAAAGTTCATCTAACTCTGAAAGCCACCAAAGAACATCATAGAGGAATCACCCCTGTTGAAGAAACCCAAAAGGATGTCCCTTTTGGAAATATGAATAATTCTGTTGTAAACTTAGTTCTTGTAATGTTTGGTGCAGTATGGACGAGATAGATTTATATTAACCAATTCAGAAGTTTCCATGTTTGTAATTTCTTTTCAACTTTTTAAGACAAGGTTTCACTATTTAATCTTGAGTAACTTGGAATTTGGTATGTTGACCACAGGGCTGGTTTCATAATTGCAGTGATCCTCCTGCCTCTGCCTTCTGAGTTCTGGAATTCCAGGAGTGCCTAACTTGTGTTTGTGATTTTAAATACAAGAGAGAACTTGCTGACTGAATTGTGAAGCCATTTCTCTGTCAGACTGGTATTCATTTGAAGCAGTGTAAGTGGATCCTTCTCCCAAATCTGACTATTAAAAAACAAAGCAAGCAAACAACGACAACAACAACAACAACAACAAAAACACCTTGCTCCTGTTGGTACAGGCACGAAGATGGAGAAATCAGTCTCCAATCTGTTTGTCTACCCCCTCCCACTCTTGCTTCTTGGTGTCGCAATGTTACTGTTTGAGACTTTGGTAAATTGAAATAAGTATGAGATATTTTGGCAGTCTTAATTTCCAGCTCAAGGGAACAGAATCCATCAAAGTAATGAGTTGTTAGTGTGGGTGGGGTAGGGGGCTTGGGAGGAACAGGGAAAATGACCTTTGGTGGGTTTCAGTTGTTCCAAGTTCTCACTGATGGCAAACTCTTCCCATAGGTTTCCCAATCTACCACTGAGGCTAGTATTGACCCCTGCCGATGATGCTGACTACTGCTTATTAGGTCCTATCCCTTCTTTTTCCCTTCTGTACTGAATATTGCCACCTGCTTGCAGATTTTGCATGGAGTTTTACTAGCAGAACTGGCCAGAAACAGTTGGTACAGTGTGTATTTGCCACCTTGGGTGGTCAGTGCCTGTTCCTCGGGTTTCTAAGAATTATGTCATTATGAGCTAGGGTATAGTAGCAAAAACTACCTCCCTTCTACACACACACACACACACACACACACACACACACACACACACACTCACAGTCAGATTCCTTTGAGTCCCTAGAGACTCACACTTCTTGAGGTCCTCATGAATCACTTCCTTTGTTTTATCTTCTGGTCACCATAACCAGAGCTTCTTCCAGAGATCAGAATTCTACTCTGGTTGCTTTCCACCATGGTCTGGTCCTTCTCCCCCATAGCATTTTCCTTTTTGTATATCTCATTTTCTCTGATAATTCTTCCTTGTGGAATTTGCTTTTCTTCACGAAGCATCCTAGACATTACATAGAAATCTCTCTTCAAGCTCTAAGATTCTGTGATTTGAGAGAAAGGAGCTTGTAGATGACAAGAAATGCCCTTGAGTCATACTAGTGATCTACCCAACTCTCTGGAGAGGTGTACTTAATATACACCTTCTAATAGCTTGATCAGCTAGGAACCCGAGCAGTGCATGGGAAATGCACAGATGGTCCCTGCTGGGAATGGAGCACCTTAGGAAGCTGGCCTGTAACAAACTGCCCTAAAGCTGGCTCCCAGAATTGCTCTCTCGAAATAGTTGCTAAAACCTGCCTGGGGAAAAAGATGGTCATCCATTAATCATTCGGAGTACTTAGGCATGGACTTAAAAGTACATTCGCGCAAGAAGAGGGGCATGAGGAAGCCTATATGCTAATGACTTTGCTGGATCTTCTCACGCATGGTTTCTACAGTGAAAATGACTGGTTTGTGTCAAGGTTCAGTAGACTCATAAAGGCTATGGGAGACTTCCAAACCGAATATATAAAAGAGGAACTAAGACTGATTTGCAAACTGAGGTGCCTGGTTCCTTTGTGTGCTTATTTATAGAACAGTGGTTCTCAACCTTCCTAACACGACCTGTGAGCCTCCACCCATAAAATTATCCCATTGCTGCTTCCTAACTGTAGTTTTGCTGTTGTTATGCACGGCAATGTAAACATCTGATATGTGAGCCCTATGAAAGGGTCATTTGACCCCTAAAGGGTCATTTGACCCCTAAGGGTACCATCATTATAGAAATGAATGCCAAGGGCTAACCAACCATGAGTCATCCTTAGCACATTGCTTAGATTTGGAACAAAGTGTTTATATTAAAACATATGCATAAGCAGGGTGGTGGCAGCGCATGCCTTTAATTCCAGCAGAGGCAGGTGGAACTTTGTGAGTTTGAGGCCAGCTCTATGAGAGCTAGTTCCAGGACAGGCTCCAAACCAAACAGATAAATAAACAAATAAATAAAACATATGCATGAATGAAAATGAGGATATAACACTTACTAGGTTTGGTTAGGAGAAGGCAGAGGGAGG